TCTACACCCAATGTGGGTGCGGCTCAAACTCACAACCCTGAGACCCAAGAGTTGCATGCTCTATCGACTGAGCCAGCCAGGCGACTCTTGAAGAATTAATTTTAAAAAGAAAAAGCAAATGATACCAGAACACAGTGAAACTCTAATTCAGGTGCCCACACTTCTTACCCCTTTCCAGCTAATTTCCTACACAACAGAAAGAGTGGTTTAAAACCTAGATGGCAGAGCACCTGGGGGGCTCAATCGGTTAAACATGACCCTTGATTTTGGTTCCTAATCTCACTGTTCTTGAGTTTGAGCCCCACCTGGGGCTCTGTGCTGTCACATCATGGGGCCTGCTGGGGATTCTGTTTCCCTCTCTCTCTCTTCCTCCACCTTCCTTCCTCTCTCTCTCTCTCTCATTCAAAAATAAATAAACATTAAAAAAAAACAAAACTAGGGACGCCTCGTGGCTCAATCGGTTACAGGTCCGACTTCGGCTCAGGTCATGATCTCACAGTTTGTGAGTTCAAGCCCCACATCGAACTCAGAGCCTGACAGGTCAGAGCCTGGAGCCTGCTTCAGATTCTGTGTCTCCCTCTCTCCCTGTCCCTCCCCCATTCACACTCTGTCTCTCAAAAATGAATAAAACAAAACAAAACAAAACAAAAAAACTAGATGGCATCTAGTAACTCCCTAATTTATAACCCTCTAATGGTTTCCAATTGCTTGAGAACACTTCACAGCTCACATGGTCTGTGTGAGTGCTGCCCAATCTGACCCTGTCTGCTTCTCTGACCTCATTGCTCCTCTTCCCTTTGCTCACCACCTTACAGCTTTACTGGTTTCTTCTCAACTCCTGGAAAACACCAAGTTTTTTGCCTGAATTCTTTTCCTGCACTTCTCACTTAGCTTGTTTTTCCTTCTTTAAGATCTCAACTTAAAATATCACCTCCTTAGAGAAAGCTTTTCATAAAGACCCTTTCACCTTCCTTTCTATTCCAGCCCCTTGTTTACCTCAGGACATGCCACAATTAAAAAAAGTTTTTCTCTTTTTGATTTTAGGTTTTTATGTGGTTTTCCAATGAAAATATCTGCTTCATAGCAGAGACTATGTATGATCTACTCATCACTGTTTTTGCAAGAATCCAGCACACTGCCTGGTAAATAGTAGGGGTTCTATAAATAATGAAAATGAGAAGGAATAAAATGACGAGTCTAGAGTTTAGATTTTATTTATTTATTTATTTTTTTGAGTTTAGGCTTATTAATCACATCAGGCTACAGAGTAGACTTCTGTGTAACTTATAAGATCTGTCAAAAAAAAAAAAAAACAAAACAAAACCCCACAAACAGGGCACCTGGGTGGCTCAGTCGGTTGAGCATCTGACTTTGGCTCAGGTCATGATCTGGAGGCTTGTGAGTTTGAGCCCCGCGTTGGGCTCTGTGCTGAGAGCTCAGAGCCTGGAGCCTGTTTCGGATTCTGTGTCCCTCTCTCACTCTCTCTCTCTCTCTCTCAAGAGTAAATAAAACATTAAAAAAATTGCTTTAAGAAACAAAAGAACCCATAAGCTGCTGTGATTAAAGTCAAATAATACCTGTAAAAGGACCATATTATTCTATACCATTCACTGTAAAGACTATCCCTTTTCCCATTGAATTGTCTTGACACCTCTGTTGAAAATCAGTTGCCCATTCTGGACTTTCTATTCTGTTCCATTGACCTGCGTTCCATCCTTATAGTATACATTCAAAAAAAAAAAATAAGGAAAAACAGCAAACCTTAAAACTGGAAGCAATTTGAAAGAAATGAACCTAACCACCTATCAAATTTGTAACATAACCATAGAGAATTATTTCATATGGCTTAAAAAAATTTACATACAATAATCTGCAGAGACTTACAAAGTACAATTAGATGAATTCTGATGCCTGTGTGATCAAGATACAGACTACTTCCACCACCCTAGAAAGTTCCTTTCTAGTCAGTCCCAGACTCTCTGCCTCCAGGCAGCAGTGTGCTGATTTCTATAACCATTGACTAATTTTGCTTATTCCTGAAATTCATGTAATTGGAATTACATAATTTGTACATTTTATGTCTGGCTTCTTTCACTCAACACAATGCTTTTGAGATTAATTCATATTGTCACATGTAATATTAACCTTAAAAATAAAACTGTCAGGGTATTTTTGTTTGTTTTGCCAGCAAAAATGGGTTTATTCAGAAATTGCAGAGAATTGCAATTCAGGACATTCAATCTCTGGCAAATCCAGAGAACAAAGGAGAGGACTGCTCTTTATTATAGAGGAAAATGGCTAGATGGGATATTATACTGGCTCAGTCAGAAGAGCATGAAGCTCTTGACCTCAGGGACATGAGTTAGAACCCCATGTTGGGTGTAAGGATTACTAAATAAAAACAAAAACAAAGTAACTCCACTCAGTAAACCGGGAGTTCCAAGTATAGTAGAGTAGCTTTTCTTTAGCTAAGTTGTGACCATCTCTCATTGGCTCATTTGTTGCCAAGGGAAGGGAAAAACCTATCCTTCTTCTACTGGGATAGTAAGGTAGTATGGACTTGCAAAGTACCCCCTCTTCCTTTTTTTTAAATTTTACTTTTTTTAAGTTTATTTATTTTGAGAGAAAGAGAAAGAGCAAGCAGGGGAGTGGCAGAGAGAAAGGGAGAGAGAATACCAAGCAGGATTTGCACTGACAGCAAGGAGCCCAACACGGGGCTTGACTTCAGGAACCATGAGATCATGATGTGAGCAGAAACCAAGAGTTGGACACTTAATTGACTGAGCCACCTAGGCACTCCTTATTTTTATTTTATTTTAAAGATTTTAAGTAATTTTCACTCCCAATGTGGAATTGGAATTCACAATCTAGAGATCAAGAGTCACAAGCTCTAAGCCAGCCAGCGCCGCCCCCCTCCCCCCCCCAACCATTGGATCAGCAATTGACAGATTGATAGGGCATGAGAGCTCCCCCTTCTGGCTTCTTACTCTATTTTATCTATTTATTTTTTAAGGTTTTTGTTTGTTTTGAGGTTTGGGTTTTGTTTTTGTTTAATAATCTATACACCCAACATAGAGTTCTAACTCACGACCCTGAGATCAAGAGCTTCATGCTCTGCCGACTGAGACAGCCAGGCACTCCCTCTATTTTAAATGAGGTTTCCATTTGTTAATTTTCACAATATCACAATATTTTTGTTTTATTATTGAATAATTTCCATTGTGTGAATATGCTTGAAAAAATGTTATTAAAAATAAAACTAGGAAACTAATAAAATATGTAACAGCCAAATGCATGATCCTGGTTAAAACAAACAAACAAACAAACAAATAAAAAAGTTATTGGGGCCCTGGCTGTCTCAGTTGGAGTACGCAACTCTCCATCTGAGGGTCCTGAGTTCACACCTCACATTGAATGTAAAGCCTACTTAAAAAAAAAAAAAAAAAAAAAAAAAAACCAAAGCCTATAAAAACCATTACTTGGACATTGAGGAAATTTATTTATTTTTTTTCTGTAAGTGTTTATCATTGAAGAAAAAAAACACAGCAGCAAGTTCTGTGTTGGCTTCAACAAGACCCAATTTTTAACATACCTACAACACTCCAAAATTGAAGTCAACACAGTCATTACTACAAATTACTTGTTGAAACAATCCATCCTGAAGAGAAAGGAAGTTAGGAAAAAGAATTTAAACAACTGGACATTGAAGAAATTTAAATATAACTGGTTATTAGGTACTATTAGGTAGGTTTTTTTTTTTTTTTTTTAATCTGTGTCCTTTTGGATTGGAGACACCAGGAACACCCAGGGTTCCACAGGAACCCTTCAAAAAAATTTTTTTTTAATTTTATTTAAATCCAAGTTAGTTAACATATAGTGACTCTTAGAGAATTATTGATCGTTTTACTAGCTCACTAAGCTTTTCTTGGCAAATCTCTGTCCAATTTGTCAACTAATGGCACTTACTGTTCCCTCAGTCACTCAGGCTTAAAGCCTGTTATGACACCAGCTCCAACCTTTTTTGCTTCCACCCCCACTCGCCCTCATATCAGTTCAGGTTTTCATTACTTTTTTCCACAACTTTATTGAGACATAACTCACATACCATACAATTCACCTATTTAAAATGGTTTCAAGTATATTCAGAGGGTGTACAACCATCGAAAATCAATTTGAGAACATTTTCATCATCTCCCTCCAAAAAACGCTGTACTCATTAGCTGTCACTCCTTATTAGGTTTTCATCACTTATCTGGCTCCTTATAACAGTCTTCTAATTCATCATCTTCAGCGCTTTCCTTCTTTCAATTTATTTCATGTACACCAGACAATTCGGTTTCCCTAAAGCATGGTTTAGATATTACACCTTCTTAACTAGATACCTTCTGTGACTCCCCCCAAAGGACGTTTGGATTCAAGTAAATAAACACCCATTATTACACATTCTGTTCTGGCATTGTGCTAGGTGCTGTGAGCAAAATGGATATTACTGAAGACTTCCTTTACTGCATAGTGTCTGTGCTTTATGGACCCTCCGCCTAGAATGCCCTCTTTACCCCCACCCACCCGCAACCGCTAGAAAACTTTCCCAACTTTCAAGGACCGTCTTCCCCGACAAATGGCTGCGAACTCTGCAGCTCTCTTGAACTCTCCAGACGCTTCTCTAACCCGTTCGTTTGCACACACTTAAACCTCAATACATCCCCAGAACGTTCTGCAAAAGGAGCAATGCTCCTTTCCGCGGGAACGGCCAGCCTCTCTCCCCACACGATTGGTTCTTCAATATCCCAACACCCTTTCTCCAGCCATCAAAGACCTCCGCCCCCCGAATCATAGACGTGAGCGACTCCTGGTAAGAGCAGGCTAAGAGAGGTCGGCTCTTCCGGGTCATATCTGTGAAGACATCTCCGGACCTCTATGATTCGCGCTTCCGCTCGGAAGAATAGCACCACCTCTCTTCCGGCGTTCCTCTGCGCTCCCGGCCCGCCCCGACGCTGTCAGTGACGGAAGCACGCCGGGGGTGACCTCACCTTCCAACATGGCGGCGGCGGTAGATTAGGGCCGCGGGTCGAAGCAGCCACCGCCGCTGGGGGACCCTGTCGGAAACGACTGCCGCCGCCGCCGCCCCTTCCATCTCTTCTGGGGCAAGGGGCCAGGGCCAGGTGAGGGGAGTGGGGTATTGGGCAAGGCAGAGTTGGGTCCTTATCCAGCTCCTCAGGCGGTTTTCACTGGGCAGGAAGGTATCCAGAGACTGTGCCGAACCACTGGCTCCCCAGTGGTTCCGACGACGCGTGAGTGAGTGTCAGTGAGTGTGTGACTGTGAGTGAGTGAAAGAGTGTGTGTGTGTACCGGCGCTCCTTTGCCCGAGGGTTCTCAAAGCATGAGGGGCCCATTTCTTTGTAACCGGACCTGTCCAGCGTGGTCCCACCGCGGACGCTTGTTGAGCGGGGCTTCCTGAGAGGGCTGCCAGAGGCGGAGGAGCTCAGCCCTTGCCCTACACCGCTGCTGTTCCCCACAAAGACCTTCACGTGGAAAACCCGTGTCCATTTTTAGGACCAGGCTGGGGAACGTGGATTTCTTTTTGGTCGAGGGAGAAGGTTTCATGCGATTCGTTTGGAATGATTGTAGATTAGGTCTGCCAGTCCTAGTTGTTTCTTCTCACAGATTGTTAGAAATTTTTTAGCCGTTATTCACTGCTGTTCTGACACCCCTCATTATTACTTATTTTGCAGAAAAATCTGCTTTCTTATTCTTGGAGGCAGTACAGTTCACACTAAGTCCTTTCTTCCTTTGATTTTTATCCTCTCACTATTCCAAGGAAATGCCAAGTTTCTTTCCTTCATAACCAGCTATGAAGCAGAACTCCTAGACTTTGATTTGAGGCTTTAAACCTGGGTTTAAAATCAGACGGATCTGACCAGTTCACACGCTCCCCATTGGGATCTTTGTCTTAACCACTCCCCGCTCAAGTATTTGTTTGTTTATACAAAATAGCTGTCTCACTGTCTCTAGAAGTTTTAAGCTGAACTGAGGTTAATCTCTAGCCTCTCCCCCCCACCCCGTGTTTGTTTTTTGTTTTTTGTTTTCATGATATAAAGCAAAACAAACATAAAGTCTTTTGCGAAATTGTCAGTAAGATTTCTTCTGGACGTTTGGTGTAAACCAGAATGTTGATCTCTGCCCTAACTTGTTGTGACCTTGGATGAGTTGCCACACCCTTCTAGTACCTTCTTTTTTATCTCAGAAAATTAAGCAAATGTTTTTGTAGGTAGTAAACTATTTATGCCTCATATACATAATTGGATAAATGTACAGTGCACATCTGCACCTGCAAATTGAACTATTTAAGCCATTTTGGAATATTCTTCCTTTGATAACAGGCCAATAAGGGTTTTGGAAATCTTTACTCTGGTCGGGTACTATTTTCAGTATTTTTTTTTTTTTTTTTTTTTTAATGATTCATTTTCTCATGCAGGCTTGTACCTCAGCAGTTGAGTTTAGTTGAAGGATATATAAAGTTGAGTCCAACCAGTTTTGTAAAGGAAAGATATGCTCTCTATCATGTAAGTTAGTCAGTACTAAATACCTTCTATACTAAACTTTAGGACAAATAATTTGCAACAGTAATCATTGTTTTAAAACTACATTTCTCTTATGAAATACTTTAGACATGCAAAACAAGTTTTAAACAGTCAGTCTTGCTTTCTTTTTATCATTGTTTTTCAAATATTTTGATTCATATCTTTTTCCAAATAGTCACCAAGATTTCTTATTTAATATATATCACAGCGTTGAAGGGAGGGGGTTATTTTCAGAGTAGCTGATTATTTAACACCTTTATCAAGATCTATTAACATACAATTCATCAATTGCATGATTTAATTTTTTTGAAATGGTTTTTAGTATATTCACAGAGTGTGAAACCACCAACTCAATTTTGATCACCCCCGAAAGAAACCTTGCAGCCTTTAGCAGTCATTCATTATTCCCCACCTCCACTAGGTAGGCAAGCATCGCTTTACTTTCTATTTCTATAGATTCACCAATTCTGGATATTTCATATAAAGAGGATTATACAACATGTGGTCGTTTGTGACTGGCCTCTTTTACTTTGCATGATGTTTTCAGGATTCTTGCATGTTGTAGCATGTATCAGTACTTATTTTTATGGTCACATAATATGCCATCGGGATATACCAATTTTCTTTATTCATCAGTTGATGGGCAGTTATTTCCACTATGTGGCTGTTAAATATTATGCTGCTGTAACTGTTCATGTGCAAGTTTTTGTTTAGACACGTGTTTTCATTTCTTTAGCATATACGTAGGAGTGAGACAGAGTAACTGAATTTTATGCCTCCCTTTTACAAAGCTATTTACACATGCATGGGAAGCCTAATTATGTTGAAAGGCCGAGTGAGAGTGAGGCATTCCTCTATAAGTACATTATCTTCATACATCATCTTTGAATGCCAACTGCTGAGTGAAAACGTTTTGAGGCAGCTCTTAACACAAGATTGAACTAGAGTATTTCGATTAAGCACGTTTCGGTGTGAAAGGGACTATCTACACTAGAATATTAGTGTCTGCTGAGTTTTAAAAATGACACCCTCGCCCAGTTGCTTTTCTCAGTTGGGTGGGGTGAATTTTTTAAATTTAACAATTTTTATTAGGATTATTTAATTTTATTTCTTTTATTTTGGAGAAAGTTCTAGAATTCTATACGGGCTAATAAAGTATGGATTTAAAAAAATATAGTTATTGGACTTAATTTATAGAACTTTAAAAAACTCCCTATTGAAAACACTAGTGAGTCTTGAAACTAGAGATCTGGTAACCCAAAAACGTTGTTAATGTTTACAATTCCAGAGTTTTGATTTGTGATTGAGTTATCTGTGGATTTTTATTTTTCTTTTTATAAACTGGGATTATAGATCTGTTCAACTGTATTACTGGAGTATGTAACAGTCTTATTACATTGTAATTTTATTTTAGTAGACAGAAATGATCTAAAAACAAAGCTTGAAGTAATTTAAACCATGTTAAATTGTAATCTGTTTCTGTTTTGGCTCTGTGGGGTTTAAAGAATACAATATAGCTATGATATTCTAACTCCTGTGTTGGAGGTGGTACTAGAAATTTGTGTTTTCCATGAACATTCAAGGTGATTACGATCAGACAAGTTTGGGAAACAACTACAAAAAACTCTCATGTTGCTGCAGATTTGCTTTTCATAAGAATTTAAAGTCGAATTTAATAGTTGCTGCCTACCTTCTGGTTGTAGTTCATAAATGTGCTTTAATTCCTGTAGTACTATTGGTGCTAGCATCCTGAAATTTGCACTAGTATTCATTAATAGAAGACTGGTTAAAAAAAATAAAGCAAACTATTTATTGTAAATTGTGGATGTTACATTTGTTACTGGAGGATCATGGGTGTTTTATTTGTGCCTAGTTTTGGAGATGTCACCAAATGAATGTATAAACATAGGATTAAGTTACCCTAAGCTTCCTCAGGCTGTCCATCTGGCTGACAACTGCCTGTAATTTAATAGAGGAGCAAACTAAAGGGTCAGAGAGAGGGAGACACAGAATCTGAAACAGGCTCCAGGCTCTGAGCTGTCAGCACAGAGCCTGATGCGGGGCTCAAACTCACGGACTGCCAGATCATGACCTGAGCCGAAGTCAGCTGCTTAACCGACTCAGCCACCCAGGCGCCCCCTTTTTTTTTTTTTTTTAAACTAAGCTCTATGTCTGACATGGGGTTTGAACTCAGCGACGACCGTAAGATCAAGAGTCACATGCTCCACCAACTGAGCCAGCCAGGCACCTGGATAGTTTTTGTATTTAAAATTGTATTTAAACTTCTGGATACCAAGAATACTTATAACTAATTTGAATTCTAAAGGGTTCTACTGGACAAAATTTAGAGTAAAAGTAACTGTATTCTTCTTACCATTTAAAAGGAAGCTTGGGCTGTCTTAGATATGAAATGTACTCTGTGTTGGTCAGGCAGTAGTGGGGTGGACCTGAGCATTGTATTCTGTTTCCAGGAAAGCTCTGGGTGGTGATCTCAGATCGTATTTACCTTTCATCCATTCTTTTTCCTTTTTTTCCTTGTCCCATTCTTAAAATTGACAAATTTGTTTCTTTCAGTACTCTGCAAAAACACCCTGTTAGTCTACCAGTTCTCCCTATTATTGTTGTTAGTGTCTTCACTTCTGCGTTTTTCTCACCCAGTACCTTGCCTGGCATACAGTAAATATGCGTTGAGCAAATGCAAGGCTCAGAGTTCGGAACTGAAGAGGATGTATGTACCTGACCAAGTGATTGCACTGTTAATTAGCTGTATGATTTTGTGTAAATAAATTATCTATTCTTGTTTCTTCATCAATAAATTGAGACTATTACCTTTTCCTTCTAGCATAGAGGATTGTCTGACAACACATGGAAGAGTGCTTTAGAAATAGAGGTCTCGTGCAGATGTAATTTTTTTCTATTTGTTTGAAATGCAAGAGCCCATTGTGCAATATGGGCTACTCTGCACTACAGAATGTTGCAATGGAAGTGGATGCCCTCTCTTCCCAGAATACCCTTAGAGTACTGACCCTGTAGTAGTGTTGTGGAGTTTACATTTTGCACATTCTCAATGCCTTTGTTCTGTAATTTAATACAAACACACTAGATGGGTAAAGTGTTCCTAGGGTCTGTCTACTGCACCACCTAACCACAGGCCTGAGTGAGCTGCTTTGTTGCTATACGACTGGAAGCTCATACTATAAGTCTGGCATGTTTAGGTCTGATATGTTTATAACTAGATTCTCTGATACACAGTTAAAGCCTAAAAACTGTATATTGAATTTAAATGATTAAAGTTTGTAGTATCATCTCCATTAGTGTCCATCATTGAAAAATGATTGAATAGAATATAACCATCCACCAAATATATGGATGTGTGGATATTAACATGTATACTAGAGCTGAGGACTTTGTTGCAAATAGAATAGTGAGTATGGAAGATGGGAAATTATGAAATCTATGATTAAGATTGCATTTATGGTTAGGCAATTGGGATTTGTAAGAAAATTTGAAGAGCACTAGGCTAAAAATGAAATTTGGAAATTCAGTGAACTATGCTTTTCCTATGGCATCTGGGTCAGAGA